ACCATTTTCAGGCTTTATAATTAGTATCTTAAATGTTTCATCTATTTAAAATGTTAATAATAGAAAACCCCTATTTTTATACCCTCGGGTAATTGTATGTTCGCCTTGGTGTGCTGGTGTGTGCATTATTTCGCACACAGCTTGTGCGGTTCCGCTGTGAATGCGAATATCAAGGTCAACATGTGATGTGTTTCTGCTGCTGTGGCTGCGACTGCTGGTGCCCCGCCTCCACTCTTCCACTCCTAGGCCCCCCGCCGCCCCTTGAAAGTAGTCATCCACAAAAATGAGCTCTAAGAAAATAATTAAATGGCAGGCAGGCGAAAGAAAGACGGCGGCAGCCGCAAAAAAACGCAATTTTTGAAGCGCAGTTGTTAAATTAGAAATGCCATATTTTGAAATAAATTTGTTTTATTTTTTCTCCACCTCCACCTCCCCCTCCCCTCCTCCCCCTGGCTGTTGCTATTTGTCTACCGAGTCTACCAAGTTTCGAGCGGAGGCTTCTCTTGGCCATTAATCAGTTTCTCGAATGCTACTCGAGGAGTCTCAAAAATGGCAAACAGATGATGCGGCATAATTGTTATTAATTTAAAAAAAAAAAATCAAAAATAATATGCAATATGGGAGTGAGTTGAAGCCGGTTTTTGGGATAAAAAGTGTGTTTCTTCACAAAATGCCTCAAGCTTCTAATAATCGATGTTGTCTAATCCATCGCTAAACGGTGATTAGGCTTAGTCGATCTCGATGGAAAATCAAACGGATAACCGTTCCCTGTCATCGGAAAATTCAATAAAATCAAATTACCCCAACAGAACACACACAATTATCGGCGGGAAAAACAATCGATAACGATAATCCATCAGACATCAGCCATCAGGAAGAAAATTATATAAATTTGCACACATTATGCGAAATTGACGAACAAAAACCTAATCACAATGTTGAAGGAGAAGATGAATTCTTCTGAAGCGAAGGAGAATCAGGCTTGGATGGAGATCATCCAATATCCAATATAGCATTCTTAGAGAGCTCTCGACTCTGGAAATTGTATTAAGACATAAATGCGTGTCCCAAGTACCAAGTCCCAAGTCCCAGGCAGTGGAGTCGAGTCTATGTTGTAGACGCTTCTTCTTCAGTTTCTTCCTTACTGGAAGAATACAACAATAAAAAGAGCCGCAAGCGCCACAACACACAAACCAACACACACTTGCAGAAAATTGTTGGAAAAAGGCGGCGATATGCAAACATAATAATTTGCATATTCCGGCGCAGTGTTTTTTGCGATTCTCTGATGGTGGTCAAGCTCAAAAAAGACTAACAAAAAAAAAGAAAAACTCTATAAAAGGGAGTGGTGGCCTCCATAATAGAAATGTTAACCTTTCGGCAGCAATGGCTGGGCAGTCGCACCCAAAATCGACAGAAAAGTGGGCAAGGAGTTTGAAACTCGAGTTATTTCTATTTTTTTTTTTTTTTTTGTTTTATTTTATTTCTTAATAATTATTTGTTAAATAGATGCCATACATGGTTTGGCCCACTAGGTGCTGCCGACTAACTGGCTCTCAAAACTGGCTCTTTCTTCCCAACAAATCTTCCATCTACGATATAGATAAGAATCCAAAGATAACGCCCTGTCGATAAATCCAACTGGCGCCCCAACGAGGCGAAAAAATAAGAAATTTTCTTGCCTTTCTGCTGTTGTTGTTGTTGGTGTGGCATCTTGATTTATCTGTATGCGTAATTGGAAATGGGAACACAGAAAACCTAAAAAGTCAGAGCCATTTATTAAGCTTAATTTATTTTTATTTTTTATTTATTTTTTTTTTTTATTTGGCTACTACCAACGCCCACCTGGAACATGCGATCTGTTTTAACTTTAAGACTTGCCACCTCTCTTTATTTTTTTTTTATACCCTTGCAGAGGGTATTATAATTTTGGTCAAAAGTGTGCAACGCAGTGAAGGAGACATCTCCGACCCTATAAAGTATATATATTCTTGATCAGGATCACCTCCTGAGTTGATATGAGCATGTCCGTCTGTCCGTCTGTCCGTCTGTCCGTCTGTCTGTCCGTCTGTCTGTTTCTACGCGAACTAGTCTCTCAGTTTTAAAGCTATCGTCTTGAAACTCTGCACACACCCCTCTTCCCTCTGCCAGCAGTATATAAGTCGGAACGGCCCGGATCGGCCGACTATATCCTATAGCTGCCATATAACTGATTGATCGGAAATGGTATAACTTTGGTGTTTTTAGAGTTAGAGAGTTCAAATTTGACAAGAGAGCTACTTTTGGCAAAACATTACGTCATGCCAAATTTCATAAGGATCGGCTGACTATATCCTATAGCTGCCATATAACTGAACGATCGGAAATGACCCAACTTTCGTGTTTTTGAAGATAGAAAGCTGGAATTTAATACAGATTCTATTTTTGGTCAGTTGACCCAACCTACCAAATTTCATTAGGATCGGCCGACTATATCCCATAGCTGCCATATAACTGAACGATCGGAAATGACCCAACTTTCGTGTTTTTGAAGATAGAAAGCTGGAATTTAATACAGATTCTATTTTTGGTCAGTTGATCCAACCTATCAAATTTCATTAGGATCGGCCGACTATATCCCATAGCTGCCATATAACTGAACGATCGAAAATGGTTTTTGGTAGAAATATCAACTTTCGTATTTTTGAAGATGGAAGTTTGGGACTTTTTTTAGATTTTGTATTGTAATAAATTCGATTATATATTCCTATTCCCATAAGGATCGGCCAACTATATCCGATGTTTGCGATATATATCCGGTTTTAACTGCAAGGGTATATAAACTTCGGCTCCGCCCGAAGTTAGCTTTCCTTTCTTGTTTTTTTTTTTTTTTTTTTTTTTTTTTTTTGGTTGAATGACAGAAAATTTATGTTGTTGACTATTTTGCTGCAAATTACATGCAAGGCTTTTATTTCTTGATTTTTTTCTTTAAAAAAAAAAATGAAGAAAAAAAAAAAGAAACAAAAGTAGGAAGCATTTGGCGAGTTTACTAACTGGGCCGTGGCGTTAGAAATCAAAGCCTTTGGCGTTCATTAGCTTTGGGGGCGTTACACCTCCACCACTCCTCTAGTCCTCCCTTCGTGCCACTGCCACTTTTGCTTCTTCTTCTTCTTCGTTCAATTAAAAGTGTTGCCAATTTGCGACGCCTTTCCCCCTGGCTTGCCCCCTTTTCTTTTTTTTTTTCTTAACCAAGCCTCTACTATACTCCTTTTTTTTTTGCCTTTACTTGTAATCAGGAAATTCGATTTTCTTAATGCCACTGAAGGAGTTTTGGCTGCAAGTAGGAGGGAGGTGGTGGTGTAGTGACCAGACTGGACCCAGGACTAGCCATGCCCCAACCCCCGCCACCCCGATCTGTGACTTCTAATATGCGCGTGAATTTATTAACGCTCATTTTACGTTGTTGTTGCCGTTCGGGGGCGTGTGCAGGCCGATTGCATTTTTTTAAATAAATTCTAGCGCAAACGGCGCGTGACAGGAGAAGCAGAACAAAGAGGGGAAGGGGTGGAGGGAGAAGGTGGGTGGTATCCAGGGGAGGTGTATAGCCAGAACTAGAGATGGGAGAGGGATACTCTTGGGTACATTTTTGCTTCAAAGGAGACTGGAAACCTATTTAAATAAAAGGAGTAACTAAAATATTTTATTTTGTAACTAAAATAAATGGTTATTGTGTGAAATTTAAGTTAAAATCTTAAGGAAAATATCTAAGCGATATATATCGATTACTAATATGCTGGAATACGGTGGATAGCCACTAGAGATGGGAGAGCAATACTTTTGCTTTAATTTTGGCTTAAAATTATAGCATAAAATTACTAAACTAAATAGAGTCACAAAAAATACCTAGCCTTACTGCCCATTTTGTTTGAAATCTTTAAAAGTCTTAGCTATTTCTATCGATTTTTATTAGGATAGTATTACTAGAGATGGGAGATTGAATGAACTTTTCCTTCCAAGCATACCAACAAAGTTAAAGAATTAAAAGAAGTAACTAAAATATTTATTAAAGAAACTAAGAGTATAACTTACAACGTCCAAAATTGTCTAAAAATCAAATAGTATAAGGGTGTTGAATAAGGCAGAGGTGTATACCCAACACTAGAGATGGGAGAGCGACACTGTTGAATAAATTTATGTTTCAAAACATCCTACCGATATTCATCGATTACTAGTGCTTCCCACTCTCCACTCTACCATCTCTAACCCACCGAGGTTATTGCAGTCTTAGGCCAAAACCTCATTAGGCTATAGCGAAATCTATATGCGAAATGGAGGCCGACGCCTTTTCAATTTGCCAGCAATGAAAATTTACAACATGGCTGCATCGCCTTCTGCCTTCTTGCCACCCAGCCTCCCAGCCCCCCTGCTATAGCCACCTTATCCTACGATCTTTCGGGGATATATCGGGCGTTCATTGCATACCCCAAGGCGTGCATGCGCACATAAAAATCGACAGCAATGTTGAAGCGGATCGGAACTGGTTGCAAGTTGCTAGTTGCACGTTGCCAGTTGCCAGTTGCTGCTGCTGCTGCTGTGGCATTGTCATTCGTGGCATGTTCACGCCTTGACGCCCGCAGCCAACTTGCAACAAAAATTAAAAAAAAAAAAACCAGAGAGAGAACTGGACTCCAAATTGAACTCCAACTGAATCGCCCATCGCAACATTGCTCTTTTTTTGCGTTACTGGGCTGTGGCATCTTCAAAAGCGGCATTTGTGGCTGCGTTTCAGAGACTCTGATCGTAAATCTAATAAATGCCTGTTGCAACATCGCGGCGTGGCAACCAGCTCAAGGGGGAAACAGTCTCTACTGGCCAATGGATTGGAAAATGTGCGCTTTTCCTCTGGCCACGATTTCAAAGCCCGATAATATTTGCAAAATTATGACAAAACTTAGCAGTAGATTTTAATATTTTTAGATTTATTTTTAATAGTTTTCTTTATATTTTTCTGATAATTGCAGGTGGTCCTCTCGGCTTGTTCCTCGTACTTCCAGAGCCTGTTCCTGGAGCACCCCGAAAGACATCCAATTGTGATATTGAAGGACGTCCGTTTTGCCGAGCTGCAAACCTTAGTTGAATTCATGTACAAGGGCGAGGTGAACGTGCAATATTGTCAGTTGTCCGCGCTGCTCAAAACAGCCGAATCCCTCAAGGTAAAACCTAAGACTAAGTTAGGTGAATTCTTATTAAGAATTGCTAGAAAAAAAATACTTTAAAAGCTTCTTAAGAAAGTCATGAAATAGAAACCCCAAAAAAGTATGACCCTTTACACTTCTTTGAAAAAATACATTAGAACTTCGCACAAAAAACAAGTGTGGCCATATATTTAGACTGAGGGAAAAACGGTTAAATACCTTGTCACTAAATAAGACCTCTCTCCCTTTAAGGCCTTAGGACATTTTTTTCTTGACAGCAGTTTTCCTTGTACCGAGCGTCTGTGATTTCAATCAGAAGCAGTTGTGGCTTCGACCGCTCCACATCTAGCTCCTCATTTATTTCTGATTTTATTTTTCTTTTTTTGGTTTTTTATTTTTGATTATTTTTCTGAAAACATTCTGATTTTCTTATTGTATTTTTTTATTCATTATTTTTCTTTTATGTCTCTGAGTTGTCAGCGACGGGAAGTCCTGGGCCTTATTTTTTTATTTTTGTTTAAATACCCAAAACTTCATGTGGATTCATGAATTTATTTTATGTTTTTTAATGATTTTATTTTTGACAACACTTGCTATAGGTTATTACGGAACAACTCTTCGGATGGTTTATTTTCTGATTTTTGTTTTTTATTTTAATGATTTTATTTTTGACAACACTTGCTATAGGTTATTACGGAACAACTCTTCGGATGGTTTATTTTCTGATTTTTGTTATAATTTTTTAATTTTAATTTTGTTTGACATTTTGTTTTAATTATTTTTTTTTTTTTTGGACAATAAATACTATAGTTTTGCTTCGAGCACTTCTTCGGTTTTCAACGGCATCTATTTTTCAGAATTCTTATTTTCTCATTTATTTATTATTTTTTAATAATTATTTTTCTGACAATACTTACTAAAGATTGTTCGGCACCGATTTTTTATGTTTTTATTTGCGGAATTTGTTTTATTTTTTATTTATTTTTTTTTTATTGACAAATACTATAGTTTTGCTTTGAGCACTTCTTCTGCTTTCGACGGCATCTATTCTTCAGAATTCTTATTTTTGCATTAATTAATTCTTTTTAATTTTTTTTTTAACAATACTTACTATGGGATTTCTGCATCTGTGTTTTAGGTTGTTTACTACTTACTAAAGATTGTTCGGCACCGATTTTTTATGTTTTTTATTTTCGGACTTTTTCTTATTTTTTAATTATTTTTTTTTTACGCAAATTACTATAGTTTGTACTTTACATTTGCTCTTGTCAAGGCTCCATACGGCATCTATTCTTCAGGATTCTTATTTTCGGAATTTTTTATAATTTTTATTTTTTTTCAACTTTAATGCCCTCTGCAATAAAAAATAATATTATTGAACTTTAACTTAAAAAAAAGGCAAACAAAATCTATAAATACTGTTAAACTAAGGTTCGAAGAGACTAAAGAAGGAAAAATAAGGAAAGTATAAAAAGGTTAAAAAAAAAGAAAACATTAATATTAAATAATAAAAAAAAAAAAATTTTAATATTAAAAAAATTATTTAATAAAAAATGTTAAAAGCCATTTTTAAAATCACTTTTCAGGTCAAAGGCCTCGCCGAGATGACAAACCAGAACACGACGCTGCGCGAGCCGGAGCGGGAACCGGACCGCCTGCGTCCTCAGGGCGGCGGCGGTGGCAGCGGCGGTGGCGTGGCCTCAGCCCACAAGGCGGCCGACAGTCCGGCCACGGCGCTGGACGCCACAGCAGCAACTCAGGCGGCGGCAGCAACGACGTCGGCGGCCACAGCAACTGCCACGGCAACAGCGGCAGCGGCAACATCAACCTCAACCTCAGCCACATCTGCAGCGGGGGCAGGAACAGGTACAGGAACGGGAACAGGAACAGGAGCTACAGCCACATCGGCAGCGGGGAGCAGTAGCAGTACAACCACCACCAGCAGCAGCAGCACCAGCACAACCACATCCTGTGCCACAGCAGCCACATCCACAGCAGGATCAGGAGCCGCTGCTGCCACATCTGCAACATCCGCGGCAGGAACAGCAACAACCGCCGAAGAGGCCACCTCCTCGTCATCCCTGTTGGGCCAGAAACGGGAGGCCAGCGACCACAGCAGTCCCACGCCCGCCAAGCGCTCCTCGCGCCACCAAGACACCTCCTCCGATGACGTCCTGGACACTCACAGAGTCAAGGACCAGGTGCAGCCGGCCGACGAGCTGCTGCAGGAGGAGCTGCTGGCCGGTGGCCGAAACGAGGAGGACGACGATGCGGTGGAAGAGGTGGAGGAGCTGGATGAGAACGAGGATTTTGAGGATGCGCTACGAGAGCAGGAACGGGATCCAGAGCATGAGGATGACGAGGATGAGGAGGACACGCCAATGCCGTTAGATCTCTACCACAGGCCTGCCGTTGAGGCGAAGGTTGCAGGTAAGCGAATTGGAATTTGAGGTTACGACAAGGGCTGGACATGTTCAGACATGCTTGAAGACAGCTTAGACTTGTTCGGACATGCTTGAAGATTGCTCAGACGTGTTAAGACATGTTTGAAAAGCTTTCTGATACATGTTTAGACATGTTTAAATACTGTTTAGTGTTAGGAAATGTTTAAAGGCTGTCTAAACGTGATCTGACATGTGTTAAGTTTGTCGAGACATGTTCAGACACGTTTAGACATGTCTAGACACGTTAAAACTCGTACAGATATTGCATAGACACGTCCAGACCTGAACTAAGTTTTCTTGAGTCTGGATGGGCTTAGTAGCTTGCTGAAGGTTTCTTGCACATCTAGATGGGTCTGTATGAGTCTTTCTCATGTAGTCCCCTCTATCCTCCACCTAGACCAAGATACTTCCTAAAAACACTCTCCCATTGTCCACTCTCCAGGTTCCAACCAGAGCGGCAGCACCACTAGCAACACCAATGCCACCACCACCCGTAACATCAACAACAACAACTCCAGCAGCAACAACAATAACAATAACAGCAACAACAACAACAACACGAGCGGACGCAAAGCTACCTCAGCCAGCAACGGTGGTGCAGCAGTAGAATCCAGCGGTGGATCCGTGGTGGCCGTCGACGATGATGACGAGGACGAGCAGCAGCAGCAGCAGCAACAACAGCAACAGCAGCAGCTGCTCCACCACCATCATCACCACCAGTCTCACCACCATTTGCACCACCGGGCGAGGCGGGACAACGATCGTCTGGCGCAGGAGCAGGATGAGGAGGATATGGACGACGATGTGGTGGTGGTGGGCAGTGCCACAGCCACCGTGGTGGCCAGGGGCATTGCCCAGCGGCTGGCCCACCATCACCAGGGCTTGCGACTGCAGCACTCCGCCCACGTCCACCATCCGCACTCGCATCCCCATGCGCACCACCACCTGGTGGACGAGGACGACGACGAGAGCCTGCCGGTGATCGCCAAGACGGAGATCCTCGACGAGGACTACGACGACGAGATGGATCTGGACGACGACGACGAGGCGGATAACAGCAGCAACGACCTCGGCCTCAACATGAAGATGAGCGGATCCGGGGGCGGTGGCGTGGACCTGTCCACAGGCTCCACCCTGATACCCTCGCCCCTGATCACTCTGCCCTCCTCCTCGACAGCGGCGGCGGCGGCAGCAGCAGCGGCTGCAGCTGCGGCGGCGGCTGCCGTGGAATCGGCTAGATCCACGCCAGCGGGCTCTGGAGCGGGCAACACGGCTGCCGACTTGAGCATCAGCGGCAGGCCATCGTCGAGGAGTTCGAGGGATGGCGGCGGTAACGACGGCCGGGGAGCCACCTCCTCCTCCAGCCTGCTGAGTCCCGGAACGGTGGCCAATCTCCTGCCTGTGCAATCAGTACCATTGGTGGGTTTCTTAGTTAGTTCGTGATTAGTTTAGATTTAGTTTAGATTTTAGATTTTGAGGTTTTTCAAAAAATATTCAAAGAAACGCTTATCCGTGTGTCCGCCAAACCGAATATACCGATATTTAGTTATAAATCAATAGTTTTTAAAGTAAAAACGACTATTTGGGTTAAGATCAAAGAAATTATTCCCAAGAATATTTTAAGAACATATATTCCCAAAATAAGGTTAGGTCCGATTGTCCGCTTGTCAGTGTGACCTTGTGTCTGCCAAACCGAATATAACCTCTTAAAACAACCTCAAACAAATCTAGAAAACTTTTCCCATTTATTTTCCCATTTTTTCTAATATTTTCTTAATAAAAAAAAATGAATAAAAATATTAAAAAGAAAAAATCTCCCTTCCGCAGAGCTTGAAAAAGGAGATCGATTGCAGCGAGGACGACAGCAGCAGTCACAGTAGACACATGCAACAGCGTTCGGCATCAGCTGGCGGCGGCCTGGGCGGCGACCTTGACTACCGCGCCTCCCACGAGTCGGTAAGTGCATCACTTCACTTTCACCCTATAGCCCCTGGCCCTGCCCCTTTTTACAAACAAGCCCCAGACCCCCAAAATTCGAAGCGCCCTGTCAAAATTCTAGTCCCAAGTCCCTAGAACTGCCAAAAAAAAAAAAAGAGATCCCGTTCAGTGAATGCTTTTGCTGCTTCGATAGGCAAGGTTTAAAAATAAAAGAGAAAAATTAAAAAAAAAAAATTAAAATTCGAGATCTCCAAGAAGAAGATATCTGTGATCCCACAATCTGGCTCGATCCGACTCACTGTCTATTTTGTACACATATATATATCTCTATCTTAAGTATTATCTCTATATCTCTCTGTCTGTTCTTACATATATATGTACATATATATATATATATGTATGCAGCCTTTATATACCACTATATTATATAAAGAAATAAAAACAAATGCAAAAAAAAAAACAAAATGAAAACAAAACCAAAACTCAACATATATTTTTGCTCTTCGTCGTGTTCTTTGTCTATGAATTTTTTATACTTACATATATATATCCAATATCCTATAAATATATATATATATCTTATCCTATATCTATGCCCTATATATATATACATATATATATGAATATCAAGTTGTTTTTTTTTCTTCCTCCCCAAGAAACCCCCCCCCAAAAGAAAGTCAAGTTTTTCATTTTTTCTCTCTCTCTGTTTAGTTAAAAAAAAAAAAAAGTAATTCCTTAAAAATAAATCCAGTGTTAGTTGTTCAGTTTCATAGCTTTATATATACTCTCTCCTATATATAAATATATATATATATTTTGTTTAATGTGTAGCGCTCTCTCTCTATCTATCTATCTATCTCTGTGTCTGTCTCACTATCTCTCTCTCTACCTCTAGCTCTATCTCTCTCTCTATAACTGTCTAACTGTATATCTGTCTATCGATAAATGTCCGTGTAATTTTTTTTGTTAGTTTTTCCAAACCAATCTATGTATGTATGTAATCAATGTTGTTGTTGTTCCTATTGTCGCATATTTGTGTACATACGTATGTATAAATATTCCCCCAATTATCCACCCACTATGCCAGCCACACACCCCCTAGAACATACACCCTCTCGCACAGTTTTGTTGGTATTTTTTCACTTTTTTTTTTTTTAATTTTATTTTTGGTTTAAAAACCTTGCCACATTTTCTTGTTCTATTTCTATTTCCGTTTCCCGCTCCACTTGCCACACATACCCGTCCATTTCCGTTTGCAATTTTGTCACCTTTGCCCCAAACCACCTCCTTCCCCGCTCCTCCTTGGGTATTATTTATTTACTGACCATGTTCTAGTCCTTTTTTTCAATTATTTTATAGTTTTTTAAATTTATTTTTTTTTGTTGCTGTTGCTATTGATGTTGTTGTTGTTGTTGCAGTTGCATGTTTACGAGACTATAATTCTCAATAGAAAGAACCATTGTCCACCAGGTGATCAAAAATATGTAAAAATTTATTAAAAAAAAAAAAAGAGGTTACAATAGAAGACTAGGGGGAGTATGTAGTAATACCTACTATTAAGGAAAAAAATTAAAATAATATACATAAAATAAAATCCATCAAAATCCTCTGTTTAATTCTCAAAAGAAATATGAATAAAACTTAATGAGAGGTACCCCCTAGCCATTATTTTCTAGCTTTGAGTATCCAGCCCTGTTGTCCTGCCATGTCCTGAGTCCTGTGTCCTCTGTCCTGTGCCCTGTGTGTGTTATATAAATAAAATAAAAACCAAATCAAATATTCAAATCAAACAATGAGAAAAATTGTCGCATGTTGCAACAGGACGAAAAAGGACCCACAAAAAAAAGGATAACAAAATACAGGCAAAAGGAAGAAAAGTATAGGGAAATTGTGTGATGCACCCTAGGCACCCTGGGGCTGGGCGTTTGGCTCGATATTCAATTTATTTCTGGTCCCCCCCCCCTCCTATATAGTCCTTTTCCTTTTCTCGGGTGTCTCTCTCTCTGCCACTAATTTTGGCTCGCATTCAAAATGAATGTAATGCATACTTTCGGGGCGGCAAGCACAACTGTACCACCTGACTACTCTGCCACGCAAAACACTTGGCTTCCGGCGAATATATATATTTTGCATTACATTTTTTGTAGAACGAGTGAGGAGGGGGTAGAGGAGGGATAAAGCCAAAAAAAAGTTAGAAAAACAGGCAGCCCTACCAAGCATAGAAAAGGCAAAGGAAACATGAGTAGCCACTGTCGTTTTTCTTATGCCCGCTTTTCCCCACTTTTTGTGCAGCAAGGGGGAAAAGTCCCTAAAAAAAAAGGATATATATAAAAATATATATGTATATATATATATGCTTGAAAAAACGCACTTTGTTGCAACGGTTGACGAGTTTAAAAAGAGATGTGGGTGCTGGGGGAGGCGTAGGATGGGCATGACAGGCCCCAGATGGACCTAGCCAACGGAAATGTTGTCAAAAAAAAGCCAAAAAAAAGCATAAAAACTGAGAAATTAAAATTCAAGTTGCACAGTGTTGACTTGCCGGAGGCCAGCCCCCCCTTTTACGAGTTTAAAAAAATAAAAGAACTTCTTCTCCCACAAGACTTGCATATTAACTTTAAGACTTGATCAGTTTAGTAAATTATTTAAGGACTTTAGAATGTCGTCTAGATGGCAACCCTGGGCTGGCAGGAGACGCACATGCATAAATTCAAATAAAAATTTATCCAAAAAAAAATAAGAAAAAAGCAAGAATGCTGGCAAAAAGAAAGGCAGCCCAAAAGAAGGCAACAAAAAAGTGGCAGCCGCCTCGAGTTTTCAGTCGGACGTTGACGTTGCAGAACATGCACCCCCCCAGGGGCGTTTCTACTCATCCAACAAGGGGGATATACATACTACGTTTTTAAACTTAAAAACTAAATATTTTATAGCTTAATTAAATATCCTAAATATTTCGAATAAAACTCCTATTCATGTGGCAAGTCATGTGGCCACTACGCCACTGCCTTGCTGCAAAGGGGCTGCAATTCGTTGACTCTGATGTATTCCGGGCCTCTTGTAGGCCTCTCCAAGCCATTGCCGCATAATAAATACTTTTGCTTTTACACTTTCTTTTTTTTTTTTTTGTTGCTGCCAACCTTCTGCCCCACCCCCTCCTCGCCCCCTCTAGCTGGGCTGAAAACGAGGGAAATGATTATAACGACTGCAATCCAAGAGTCGGGGGTTGCAGAAACAAAACCAAAACAAAAATCAACGCACAAAACCAACAACTTTTGCTTTCTTTTTCTTTTTCTACACCGAGCACACTCTTACACTCACACACACACACACAGACATACTCACACACACACACATGAGTATTTAATTTTGAAACAAATGCGTTGGTTCTTGTTTTTTTTGGTTCTGCTCTTCATAGCATTTTTTTCATAGCATACCTTTGGGCTGGCCCTGTCGCCGCTGCTGTGCTTGCATTTTACTCTATATGAGTGTCCTTCCTTCCCCACCATCACCCCTCCTGCTATTGCACCTTGCCTTACCCTTGACGGGACGCCCCCCTCCCTTGATGCCGGGCCTCTGTCAGCGATTTGCGTTGTTTGTTTTCCGTCTACATTGCGTATGCGTAATATGTGAGCACTCCCACAGTCGAGGGGGAGACTCTAGGGCAGGGTTCACTAATTTCCAAGAAAATGTATTTGTTATTCACTTAAATATGGTTAGTGGATAGGTTTTCTGGAGTTTCTTAGGAGGGTTTCTCTTTTGGACACACCAGGGCGTATGAGTTATGTGCATAATTCATATGGAATTGAGGTTAAGTTTCCTGGTTTTAAAAATGGTTCTTAAAATTCTTAAAGTTTGCTTTAAGTTTGTATGAGAGTTTTTCAGAGGGCTTTTGAGGCTAGCTAACCCTAGACACCATGGCGTATGAGTAATGCTTATAATAACATTATCTGTTTATTTATAAAATAGACTTTCAAGTTGCTTTAGATGACGAAATAAATAAAATAAAGCCCAAATAATAATTATAATCAATTGAAAATGGATATAAGTTATAGAAAGCATTTTGTTGTATACCTTTTGCTAGGTATATATCTTGCTTTTCCCAAACATCAAGGCATATGAGTAATAATAATAATTTAAAAAAAAATGAGGCTCAGATTTTTGGTTTCATAATTAGGTTAACATTAGGTTTCATAATTTTTATCATTTTCTATAATTTTGAATTTTATAACATCTTTTTTGAAAAGTCTCGAAAGGTCTTTTTTCTAGGCAACATGGCGTATGAGTAATGTTATCTCTGAAGAAGACAGATAACTTAGATGGAAATAACGTTAATCTATAACGATTAACAAATATACTAAAATATCATTTAAATAATATTATTAATATGATATATTATATTCATAGTTATATGAGTTGAATTGAGTTGTTAGACACCATTGCGTATACGTGATGCAAATTTTAAAAGATATAATTTTAGGTTTTTACATAAAAATAGATCTTTATATAGAACCAATAAATAAATATATTTTATTTAAAATTAAAATAACTTAAAAAAAAAGCTTTTTTGCTTCTTTTTATGGTTTTTTTTTCCCAGAAACCATGGCGTATGAGCAATGTAATTTATTTTAAATTAAAGAACTGTTAGATTCTGACGGATAGAAATAAACTTCCATTTCAGAAATTCATTAAAGATTAAAAAAGTTTTGAAAATGAGTTTTTGAAGGCTCTTTAAGTTTACTTTCCCAGACAACACGGCGTATGAGTAATGCAATTGTATGACAAACGAATGGGGAATTTTACTGTTTTGAGGAAATAGAATTATATTTTCGATTAGGAAATGCGTGTAAGATTGATAAAAGTTATAAAATTATTTGGTTTTCATGGATTTTAAGGGTAAATCTCCTAGAAAACAGTGCGTATGAGTAATAGGAGTTCTGAACATCAAGAAACACGCTGATGAAGTGCAAGGAAATAGTTAAATATAAATAAATAAACTTGGTAAATGAAAAGACAATTAA